CCCTGCTAGCCCGGGCCAACCAGGTCCGAGCCCCGGTTTTGCCCGGCCCGACTGGACATGCCTAGATATGTCCATAAAAAGACCATATACTTGAGTGGTTGCAAATTGAATAATTCACCTTACCCATGATTTTATTCAGATCCCCCCCTAAAATAAAAAGATGCGTTGAAAATTAATTTTGTGAACAAAAAACTGAATGATCAGCATCAGAAAACCTTCTAGTTCTTTTCTGTTTCATTTTTTTTCACTGCCAATTATAAAAGTTATGTTACTCTCGATTAATACGCCCACTATAATCTAAAAGGAGTGATAGTTCTCTAATTTATATGTTACTCGCGAGTTTATGATTAGTTTTCCTTGTTAAGCAACAATTCTATTTTGAGATATTATAAATTTCCTCAATAGCTTTATGCTTTACTTAAAAAAAAAAGGAATCCAGAGCTCTTACCCCGCTCTGTCACCAATTAAATAAAAATAAATATAAATTAGAAATCAATTATTGAATGAGATATCACTAATATACTGCCAGTTAAATCCCAAAGATATGCTATTTAACCCAAGTCATCTTTTTTTAAAAAAAATTAAATGAAACTCAAGTCCATCTTAATTTTTAAACTTTTATTTATTCCAAATTAGCTACATTTCATTATTTTCACTTCTTGAGATTATCTCCAAGTACATAACAATGTCTAACAAACGTACGTATATGCCAATAAAATTGGAAAACACTACAAACACACTTTGTGCCACACCCTGGGCACACCTCCCTCTCAGCTACAGTGCAGGGGGCTCACTTGAGATTGTTAAATAAATCTCAAATAAGCCCCCTACACTGCAGCTAAGAGAGGGGTGTGCTCCAAGGTGTGGCACAATGTGTGCCTCTAGTGTCACCCAATAAAATTCGCCATAACTATGACTTGTACTTGCGCGTTGCTTTTTATTTTCCATTATGTTTGATGCAAAAGGGTGAGCAGGTGTTCGTTTGCATGCCAATGAGTGTGAAAGTGAAATACAAAAGATATTGTCAAATAGGATTTAATATCATTTTAATCCTAAACAGTTAATGAAACCACTTTAACGTGAAAAAAATATGGGGATCGCTTTTAATTAAATGACATTGACTATATTTATTAATAAATCCTATTTTACCACATCATCTTCACTTTTGTATTTCGAACAACATTTTTTTAAAAACAAACATTGTATCTCATTTGCATGCTGACATGATTGTGAGAGTTATTTGTAAAAATATTTTAAAAATAAAAAAATAGCTTTCACACTTTTCAATGAAAGTATTAGAAGTAAGAAATAGGTTATAGAAGTAACTTTTGAAGCTATGAAGTAGGAAGTAGTGGAAATAGCATTTTTTTTGTTTGTTTCATATATTTTTAGAAGTAATAGAAGTTGAACTTCTTCATCTTCATTTACTTTTTTTGTTTGGATAACATTTGGAAATATTACTAGGAAGTAATTTTATTTTATCATTGAAAAGTTGTTAGAAGTAACTAATAAAGGAAATATTAAAAAAAATTATTTATGTCCTAATTAATATGCATTTTAACTACTTCCGAGCTACTTCTAAGTATTGAGAATTAGAAAAATATTTTGAAAGTAAGGATAACACGTAGGCGCCACATAAGCATTTAGGGAAGTATTGGAAGTAAGTTTTTCAGAGAACCAAACACATTTTTTTGCTTGGAAGTAACAGGAGTAGCTTTTACTTTTTTTACTTCAGCTACTTCACAATTACTTCCGTGCAAACAAACAGGCCCTAAGGTGAAAAAATATCTATGAAACCCACTACAAAGAGGAAACCTCCTCCTAAACTTAAGTCATTGCTGTTAAAGTTTGTTATCAAAACAGTTATTTATTTATCACCTAGTGATAACGCTAATCTAAGATATTTTACATAGAATACGTGTCCAAAATAAAGTAGCATCCGCATTGAACATAAAATTACTCAACTATGTAATTGTAATTAACAGGTTAATTATTCATAGATTATATGAAAAATTAGGAAAATAAAGTATGCAGCAGAAAATTCAGTAAAACAACTAACAGTTTTCAAGAGATAAAAATAAGATGGGCCAAACTAGTTAACCAATTAAGTATAATTCTCATGCTGTAAATTGTGTAAGTGCCAGTTCAAGTCTTCTATTTCAAACTATACGAAGACGAACTGAAGCACTGTATAAACTATGTTACTATATGCATAAATCCCTCAGTTCCCACAACTGATTTAATTATTTATAAAAGACAGCTGAAACCTAATTTATACCCATTTTTACTCTACGAGATTTCTAACTTCAGTCTTATTCAACTGAACCAAGCTTGCATCAAGCTTAGTTTGTCAGAAGGCCAAAACATATCGGCTTCCAACCGACCAATTGGGCCTGCAAAGTTAACTCAACTAAATACAAGTTAACTATCAAAAACTTTAGTTACCGAGAGCATACCTCAGCCACCTTCAGAAATCCCTCAAAGATGTCAATAAACATCAATGTTTTGCAGCGGTAAAACATTGCTTATGATTTCCTCCATGCCTCAAAACCAATACATGGAAATGTTAGAATGGAAGAAATCAGATAAGGTTAAGGCCAAATTTCCGTCAGTCTTTAACAAATCTGTATCAATAAACCAACATATGAAAATGAACATCATAAAATATACACAAGGGTGTAAAGACTACAACTCACTATAATTATGAAATACTTTTAACTTGATGGTTGATTAACATGTAAACATATAAATTTACCTCCAACAGTATATTTCCACAAAACAGTAGACTTTCAAGCTCTACCGGGCTCTATGGCGTTTGTGATAGGTTGCTCCTTTGTACTCATCATCCGCACCTTCAATGATCTCCCACCTTTCATAATCTGAGCGATCATCTTTAGACCTTGGGATTTGTTTTGAGGGCCTGGAATTGTGACTAGCCTCTTTCTCCTTATGGCGTCTCTGTTCACTAGATACTGAGTGCTCATGATGCCTGTGACTGTGCTTCTTATGACCAGCAACATCCTTGTCAGTTTTGTGCTGCTCTCTTCTTTCACTTTGCTTCTCAAGGGAGATCCCATGATGATGTCGCCCGCGATCTCTACTGTGTCGGTTGGAGCTGTCAGAATTTGATTTCTCAGGGTGTCGAGCCCGTCGATCTCTCCCAGAAATTGATTGGTGAGAACCTCTTTCATGTCGAAGTTCAATAGAGGGAAGCTCGTCATCTGATGGAATAACTGCTTGTCGATGAGACGACCCATAATGTAGGTTGTCTTGTTGTTTCTTGTAGATCCTTGGGCTGTCATCATCTATGAAGCTCCCAGCAGCTTCCTTCCTTTTTTGAGATCCCTTGTAATAATAATCTTCAGGCATGCGATCAGAGTCTTGCTCTCTGCCACAAAAAAGAGCATAAAAACCAGTAGCCAAAATTCAGGAGAAGAATATTTTCGATAGATCATTAAGGTTTGCACTGAATTATAACTCAGAATTGTTATGTGCTATCAGCAAGGTTTTACAAAAAAATTGCCAAGTATATACAATCACCAAGACTCCACAGAAGATGGCTTATACTGCAAAACATCCACAACATCAGAAATATAATTTTTAAGAATCCTGGACATTATATTTAGGGCATGTGTGGTCAGTTCCCTACAAACCTAATCCCGGTAAATGATCCATGGGAAAATGAGTTATAGGACCCACTTTCCATTTCCAAACCCATTGTCTACTCAATTTTCCAGAAATGGGTTTTCTTTTTATCGAGGCCCAATGCAGTAGTTACATGGGCCTCACATACACATGTTTCGTTTTCTTTTTTCCCGTAACCAAACAAAAGAAAAGAAATTGTTAAGAGGAAATCAATTTCCTATAATTGTGACTTCTTGGTTTCTTTGACGACCAAACAGGCCCTTACTTCCAATCCAAAAACCTACTGATTTATGGGATAACCTATGGAACAAACATTGAAGGTACATAAAACCCAAGAGAAGCATAGATATTAGGTATATTTTTCTTAGGAATATGAGAGTATGTCACAAACCTAATCAAAATTACGAGCGGCAATCTAAACAAAGTTGTCAAGAACTTTTTCAGCAGATAACCATGTCGTTTCCAACATAGCTGGTCAAATGCAAATGGCTGAAAGAAAGACAATAAACATGGCAAATTCAACTAATGCTACTCTCTGACCTAAAAGGGATCAAAAAAAGAAAAATATGTTGCTTATCATTTGGAGGGGAGCTTTCATAGGCAATTTTAAGGTAAGTTGCATGTCCAACCTAAATGGGTACAAGCAACATACTTTTAGATAAAAATGAGCATGTAAGTTCAGGAACAAAACAGAGAGTATAAAGAAATAAAACTTTAGCTGTAAAAGATCTTAAGTCAATCTGATACTAAAACTATCTACAGTATATCGTAAACGTCCAGGTCAGGCACTAAAATTATTCATGTACAATTTACCGGTGCCTGTCATTTACTGGCAGTGGTTATAACATTCTCTTATGGGCTCAGCCTCTCAGATGGGCATTTTTTATGGAATGAGCAAGTTGCCTACCTTCCTGGATGACCATGCAAACTCTTGTCCTTCTGTTTTCTATCATGAGGCTCCAGAAATTCTTGACGAGTAAGCGGTCTTTCAGCTCCAGACATCATGGGCGCCTGCCCGCCGCCCATTCTCATGAATCCACTGAGTTTTAAAATTGAACAAAATAATAGTAATAAGCAAATGAAATATCAAATGATGGATGCAAAAGAATAGCTTAAAAGTCATGAAACACTTTATATTAGCAATGCAAATGGAAGGAAGAAACAAAGTGCAGAAGAATAGCTTACTAGGGTCCTGCCATGCCAGTGTACATTGATGACATATACAGAGGAATTCCGAAAGGTGAAATTGGGCCCATTGTTGGATCAAAAGGCATCATCCCTTGGGTACTATACGCATTTGCATAAGGTCTGCCTTGGGGGAATGTATTCCCATGCCAATAAGCTTGGCCATACATTGGCATGCCTCCACCAAAAGCAGGATCTCCTGTAAAAAGAAAAGGAAAGAGACTTACAGAGATCTTAAATTACATACTTATAATGAAGGAAATAACAGTTCTGCAACTACTTACCTGTCTGGTTAAATGGATATGAATTAGAAGCTGCTGGACAATCTCTAATCAAATGGTCAGGGGAACCACAGTTGTAACAATTTCGATCACCCTGGTTTATAGAAAGAAGGTCTATCAGATACATGGGTAACAATATCAGACACCCTGAGAAAAAAATTGCTCTAATACTGATATTGCTACAAGGATCTAGGCATTGGCGCACCCCCTCCCTCCCTTCAAGATGTTGACAACTTGACATAATTACAGAGTACAATATAAAAAGTTTCCATTCACGCTGAAATTTCTTTTAGGCAGAAGTAATATTGATAGAAGGACATATAATTGGTGAATTTCCTCCCTGTTTAGTCAGTGCGTGAGTGTTTTCGTGTATGTTTTCTTTCTATGGTTTCCTCTTTAAAATTAGTCAAGATTCTAAATTTAAATTTTCTAAACAACCCCATAGGTGAGAGGGGGAAAAACAAGTATGACTGATGTTTAGAAGTATCCAAATACAAGTTTGACCCGTTAAATAAAAACATGATTCAAGGGAACACATTTGAATAAGAAAAAAGTATCCAACTCCTTGAAGTTGAAAGCATATTGATAAGAGTACCTTTCTGTGCCTATTTGACGACATAAATGTACCACTTCCATCTGCAAATTTTATAAACACGAAATGAACATGGCAACTAGGAAGATAAAACAAAGATAAAGGAAAAAAGAAGAAAGAGACAGCAACTCGAGTATTCATGATTACCTATAACTGTGACACCATGCCCATTAGTTCGCTGCCCAGCCAAATTAACTGGAAAATTACAATATTTTAACAAGAAAGCAATAAGCAGCTATATATATTTAGTTACAATCTAATTTTTTATAAGACAAATTTGCAGAGAGCAGTTTGACAGAAGTTAGTAAGAGAACTTTTAATAATATGATAAGCAAAACTGTCGCCATGCAATACTTACTTTCCACAGATTAATGTAGTTTCTTCAAAAATAAAATAAAATAAAATACTGCAGAATCGTCATGTAATTATGTTGTAAAGTTATACTAATTGTAAGTAGGTTATTTAAGGGGTTTGAGCTTGTTTTGTGAATGAGAAGTTTGGTAAGTTTCTAATCATTTTGCTGATTTTGGTGTTGAATAATATCTAGCCTTCATACCAAAAAAAAAGAAAGAAAGAAAAGAAAAGTTATACTAATTACTCACCTATAATGCTACAATGCTGTGTCCAGCTGGTATTATTCTAATTTGAATGTTCATGTAACCAACAAATATTTATTTTCAAAATTCTAGCCCTTCTAACATTGTACAAGATCACCTTCGAAGAAAGGTGCAACAATATTCATAGGTCATGCTAAAGTTTTTATGACAAGCTATTAGAAAATGATAAACTGATCATACCTTCATCTAGCGGAAAATTCTGAAGCGGCTTTGACGAATTATGAACTCCATGAAAGCCAGCCATATGATTAGAAGCTGCGCCTGAGCTGCTTACATCCCCCTTCATATGTTTCATCTTAAGGGACAAAGGGTTTGCTGAAGGAGAATGCGAGTATGCCTTTTCTTTTTTCCGTACAGACATAGCGCAAGACACTTCTCTCACATGAATTCCTGACTCTACATCTGCATTTCATGTGATCTTGAAACATTAAATAACAAGTTAATGAAACAAACCCTGTATTAAATGATTGATTCTGGAAACAAGCGCCCACTTGCTGGAACTCGAACAAATGGGGCCAGGCGTTGGTGGAGGTGAGAGCGAATGTTTATCATGCTTAAGACAACAATTTTATTCATACTTACTAGTTTTTTAACTAATAATGTTTATTTTGTAATATCGGAGTTCATCGTGGGAAAAGAAGTTAAAATTGATGATCAATATATTTCTTTGTAAATGGCCCATCATTATGAGCCATTTCTACTGCCGTATGATAAGATTTGAATTAAATCCTACCACTACAAAATACCACATTATATGTGTGTGCGCGCGCCTGTGAATCTGTCTCACCTGGAACATCTCGAGGAATTTTGTTTTCTAAAGCATTGTTGACTGCTTGTGCCTCAAGGAAATGCTCGATCGCCTGCCGAAGGGATAGGTTTGGCAGCAAGGTATTAACAGTGCATTTCATGGAAGAACACTTTGGGCACCTCCCATCCCTAAGTAATGCCATTCGGATACCTGTACAAACATATATTAGCTATTAAACATCATTTAGAACTATAGGGAACTCCATAAACTTATTAACCAAGATATTTGCAATTTGGTGTTGAATAAGTTCTTTCTCCTGAAGAACAAGGCATTATGTTATCAGTAAAGGGTTCGAACTCCTATCCTATGTTGAAGAGAAAAGTCATCTCCTTCACAGAAAAACAACTATAAGCCAAGAAACCAATAAAATGACCCTTTCAATAGAAGAAACTAAATTCTAAGTACCAAATAAAGGGAAGCAACCAGTGCTTCCCCTTTCTTATATCTCTTGTTCGGTGTTCTTGCTCCTAAAGATCATAAAACAAAGAGTAAACATTTTCGCATTTGTTATAATCGGGGAAGTAACCAGTAATGCAGATCTATCAACATAACTAATATGTTGAACATTTGAGTTACTCCAAATATTAGCTTTATTTTTCACCAGAAGTTTCAGATGATCCTAAAAAACTAAATTTAAAACCAAGCCTCTTACATTCTTGCAATGAAGGTGTCTGTTTGTGGGAATTATATTACATATACATGTCAGTTTTAATTTTTTTTCCCCGTTGATTCATGCCCTTTATTTCATATGAACTAAAACAACTTCAGGACCCTTGAATAATTTACTACTTCTGCATTCTCTATATCCATCCAAAGTAGAAAGACAATTGATAGGCATGAAGATCAATACGTATTAACCTAGTCGGCAAACACGAATAAGAGTATACCAGATGTTATATGTACATTTGATCCAAATAATTTGGTAACATTATTATAGTTTTTCTTTCTTATTGAAGTTCTCCTTTCGTAAGATTTTCTATATTACACACACACACACACACACACACATGTCCTACAATATATGTATAGTTACCACTCTTCAGTGATCAGTGAATCACGGGATTTCTTTTCATAGCATGGTATACTCGGCAAATTCTTAATCCTAGATATTTGACATTAAAAGTAACTGGCCACAATTGTGCAATCCTAAAATCAAATTAATGGCTCAGAGAGTTTTACAAACATCTAATCTGAATCATATATTTGTGTTACTGAATATGATTTAGGTAGATACGTAACTATTGCTATTTTGAGTAATGGTTTACATTTACTCCCTGCCAATTATAGTGATAAATCACACTTACCGTTCTTTCCTTGGAGTTAATGCCCATAATGTAGTTAAACAAGATAGGAACCCTTCAGGGATGAATACTTCCATAGAATCTTTACTTGTATCATTTTGGTATACTTCACCATCCTATTAGATCTGAGCTTCAATATTCCTAAAGGACTCCAACAATTGCAAAAGACCAGCGCGACCAATTTCTTGTATTGTTTGGTTTGTGGCATGGGTACGAATATGCTATTCTGAATGGTACATAATGAGGTGTGAGCTTAATCGGAGCCATATTTGGGTCATGGTAGGTGGTACACTTATGATTATTCACTCAGATTTGCAATGATTATGCACTTATTATATGCGTGAAACTTAAACAAACATGTGTACATATGCCTGAAAACTGTCAAGACTCGAGCTATAAAAAGATGGAAAACTTGCTTCTTTTATCTATAAGCAGGGATCTCTGGCCTATGTAGAGAGTAACTACACTGGTCCAAAAAGAAGTATTCTAGATTTCCATATTCAATGTTTCCAAATTCTATTAAACTAATCAAGTGTGTTGTATTCTATGTTTCCAAATTCTATTAAACTAATCAAGTGTGTTGTATTCTATGTTTCCAAATTTTCAATATTTACGATGGATTTTGGATTGTAGTCGAATCCTACAGCATATCAGACCATTAGCACTATGATTTCCTCTTTTCCAGCCATATACTGCATTATTAAATACAAGATATCTCATGTTATTAAACTATTTCTCATTTTATCTTTATATCATAAAATAATAATATATAGGCAAACACCTAATGTAGCAATACATTGGACAAATCCTCCATCACTCTTACTAAACAAGATCTCTCTTCCCAATTAATTCCATGCACTACTCTTAAATATTTTGTCATCTCAAGAGATAATAAACTATATATTGATAAAAAGCAAGGTGACAATTTAGTATATTATTTCAAAAAAGCGCTTCAAATGTCTGATGGAAATGTAAATATTTTGCTACATTGGCGGAAATCAAACAAGCATAGGCACCTTAGCTTATTAAACTTGACATATTATTAAAAATAAAATGAACAAATTAATCAAACCACACGTGTTCACTCTTTACGTTCTACCCCTTCAGCCATCCAAAAAACAATTTACAACCATTGTTCAAAAAAGCAAGGCGACAATTTACTATATTATTTCCAAAAAACACTTCAAATGTCTGATGGAAATGTAAATATTATGCACCGCTGGCGGAAATCAACATGCATAGGCACTTTAGCTTATTAAAACTTGAAATATTATTAAAAATAAAATGAACAAATTAACAACACCACACGTGTGTGTTCACTCTTTACGTTCTACGCCTTCAGCCATCCAGAAAACAATTTACACCCTTTGTTCCACGCTTTTTAGATTGTTTAGCATCAAAACTACAAAGTACTCCATCAGTTTTGTACCATGATGTAACAGGTTTAATATAATTTACTCCCCGTCCATATATATGATATACATGCAAAAAGTTGTGCATCTTGGAGACCATATTAACAAGATCCTCAAATGCCTTTTGTAATTGTTGTTAAAAGTCGTCATGGTGCGCTATTTTTTTACTATGTAGGTTAGCAAAGAGAACTGATAGATAGCTTTCTCTGTCATAATCCCAAATACATAACTTCTTTAAGTGGCGGAACCAAGAAACTACTTTTTCTAATTCTGCAACATTTACTACAGATTCATGAAGCTATTTAGAATATAAAATAGAACAAAAATGTATAAACCTGTGACTTCCGTCAATAGAAAAATTATGATGGTTACTGAAATTTTACAGTAAATTTGCAGTCAAGCAAGACGATGGGTCAAAACCCACCTAGAAATGGACACTCATAATTGTTAAGTGACATGTTTTCGAACTTTGTTCTAAACTATAAAAGATTATGTGAATCATGGTATTAGATACTCTTCTATTCTCAACAGATACTTCATCAATTAACCTTCTTTCCCTTTAATAAAAACCTATATTCCCTTTAATAAAACAAGATTTCAAGTATGTGGCATGCATGTGGATTCCATGTCTGTCCAAAAATTTTAAAGGTTAGTGTCTAGCCTCTTGTGTAAACGAAAGAGGATTCCGACTTAAATGGAAACCTCAGATAAATCCTAACTTGATAAATTTCCTTGAATCCTGATTAGATTGAGATTCTGGCTTTATTGGCTATATTTCTGATAAACTCACTATCTTGAACAGTAACACAAGAATTAAGATGCCTTCTATAAACGAAATAGTAGATAGTCCTTCAGTAACATTCTCTAACTTGTTAACTCTAAAACGTACACTCAAGTCAGAAGTAAAAAAGCATTCAACTTTGGGAAAACCCAGTAAGCCTATGCCTCAGCCAGAACACGAAAATAGAAAAATAAACAAAGAATAAAGAATTTCAATATCCTACAAGCTAATGATACATCAGATATGGAACCCTTACATTTATCAAAAATGGGAACATGAGTTCTAATTCTAGTATAATTTTACTTAATGTAGACACCAAAAGGACTTCCAATTTTTCATAGTACAAAAAGGAGATATTAATCAAAACATCAACGCACTGTTTGTTAAACTTACAAAAAAAATATTGGAGCTGTAAAAGTAAGCAGTAAAGTATCCGTCTTTTGCAGATGTAATAAAGCCACAGAAAAATAGCTTACACTTTTCACAAAAACTATGCTGGCAGCATGGGATCATAACAGCATCTTTAAAGATTGCATTACAAAGGGAACACCTCAATTCCGTTGGCAAATCCATATCAAACATCATCGGCGAAGCCATACCAGCAAATCTACAGAAATTAACATAATCTGGTTAATATAGTAAATACAGGAAATTTGAATGTAATTTGGTAAAATGATAATGATTCTGCAGGGTGAAATTATGGTGATCAAGTTATCTTACTCGTCGAACTTCTGGGGTTCTTTCTCCTTCATAATTTGCTTTTGAATTTCTACAGTAGCAGGTTCTTTACAACAATTATCCCCGATACCTTCTGTCATTTCAGTCATAACATATAAACACAGATATTGCAAATGATAGGCTTCTAGCCTTCAAAACAAAAAATGGTTTACCGACGGCATTAAACTTTTGACATACCCTCACTGAGATCACTTCTCTCAACATTTTGAAATCTTGCAACAGGTGTATCGGAGAATCTAGAATAGATCAACAGAAGACAATTACAAATATTGTTACTGAGAATAGTAATACAAAGCAATTGAAAACTATGAAATTTAAAGTAGTACTGATGAAATTTAAAGAAGAGCAAAACAGTAAGCATAAGAAACAGCTTGAGTGAATAATACATCATATATATTGGGCACAATCACAGAAACGGCATCAAATAATATATATGGAAGAGGTCAAGGAACTCTGTCAGTTTATAATGAAGATGAAAGCATGAGTTCAAAGACAGTGAACTTCATATTATCGTTACCTGACAATAAAAATGGTATAAAAAATAAAGGCTAGAAAAATACACTGGAAGCTACAGACTTTCAATTAAATCTAGAAAAGTAATTAGCACTTTCCACCACACATACTTCGATGTTCTACCATTGCTCTGTTTCCTGGTATTGTTCTGTTTCCTGATAAGTATTCTTGCTTTGAAAATTCACCCAACAATATGCCACGATTATAGAGGATTGTAGCGTGTTAAATATACTTTTCATATAATGCAAAGTTCGTTGTCAAACTCTAGGAATAAAATAATGCATGATGAAAATATAGTTTGCTGGAAGTTTTACCCGGTAGCAATCTTGTCTTTCTTATTGGCAGTGATATCCATATAACCGAAGGCAGCATCAGACTCAGGTAAAGATCCCTGAAGAATGGGAAATAAATCCACACCAAAGTCGTCAAAGTTCTCTTTATCAGCATTCTGTTAAGAAAATATATATACATATAACTTCATATGAGCATAGAACAGGCTGGAATAAAATACAAGAAATACCATAATCGGTTATATATTTCATTCCTTAGAAGGGAAGGGAAGGAAGGTTAAACTTTCCCTTCCCTTCCCCTCCCCTCCCTTACCCCCCAATTTGGGGGGTAAGATTTTAGTGCAAAATTTCCCCAACTTCCCCTCCTCTACCCTCCTAATAGAACTCCCAAACAAGGTTAAATCTAAATTTCCCTTCCCCTTCCCTCCTCTACCCTCCATCCAAGCACACTTTAGGAATACTGTACTCAGGGACAACCAAACATAAATATAGACATTATGGAAAAAGACTCCTCTAAAAATACAGATCAACTCCATTTACTATCACAGAGAAGCACTTAACAATGATAAACAAAATTGAACAAACAACACCACCAAAAAACCCATATCACAAATTTTGTTAGGATGGCTACATGAATTCTATTCCTCCATTCAGTTCTGTTTAGGAAATCTTCTCCAATTAACTAAACCACTATCGCATCCTTCGTAATTGCTTCCGATCACGGAAAAGTTTTGAACATGAATTACAAACATACATCGCTGGATTCATCCGCACAATGCAATTGATTTCATTATAGCAAAAGTATTACCTCGGCACGCATTGTTGCAACTCTCTCTACATAGCCGGCATCTTTTAGATCTTTTTTGGTGACATTTCCAACATATCCGGCATCTTTTGCATCTTTTTTAGAGACATTTCCAACATTCCTATTATCAAAAACAAAATAAAGAAAATTCAATTCTAAAGCCAATCACAACACCAATAGAAAGATTAGAAATCAACAGAAACTCACAAATCACAGAGAGAAGACAACCCAGCTGGCACTCTCTTAATCACAACACTAGATCCCTCCTTTATCTGAATGCCCTCATTCTCAAAAGCTATAAATATCAAAAAGAAAACCGAATAAATACCCAAAGAAAATTTGGGGAAACCATAGGGCTATTAAATAACCAAACGAAAAGATCAAACCTGCGCCGGACTCCGCATCAGAGATGAGGAGATCGAAGTCTTTGCAGAGCTGTAGCTTTTTCTGGGCAATAATCTTAGCCCGGAGCTCACCAAGGGAAATCGAGCGGCGGCCGTCGAGGTCGACGGAGTCAAAGGCCACCGAGCTCCGGAACTTGAATCGGATGGACATAGATCGATTAGGGTTAGGGTTTCGCGATACGGATCTGATGATATTAGAGGTTTAGATTTTAGGGGGTGAAGAGATGAAGAAAAGGCGTTGCAGGCAAGAGATGCTAAAGAAAGAACGGTTGATTTTTTGGATGTATAATTGGGGAAAAAATGAATTAGGGGGGGTTGGATTTGTTTTTATAGGAAAACACTACGGCCACACCCCAACCACATCTTGGGTCACACCCCATCTCTCAGTTATAGTGCACAGCGCTCACTTTAGATTTTTTAAAAAATCAAAAGTGAGTGTCGTGTACTGTAACTAAGAGAAGGGGTTTGACCAAGATGTAGTTGGGGGTGTGCCTGTAATGCCACCCTTGTTTATAACCCGTAACCCGTTTTGAGTGGGCGTGCATGAACCCCCCGGCCCCACCTTTGCCAAAGTAGGATTTGGGGTGTACTACAGAAAACCAGCTGGTAGGTTTGAGCATTTATGTGATACCCCCTGACTTTCAAAAGGTCACAAAAAACCCTCAAATTTTGTCAGCAAGCCCCTAAACTAATGGTGGTAGTTCTAACTTCCATCCTAACTTAAAAGCTCTGTTTGGTTTGATAGAAAGTGAGAGAAAGGAAAGTAAAATAAAAGAGAAAGTGAGTTTATGGTGTTTGGTTTAAAAGAAAACAAAAAAGAAAAAGAAAATCATTTTCACTGCAGAAAAACAGAGAGCTAATTTTTCGGTTTAAAAGAAAACAAAAAAGAAAAAGAAAATCATTTTCACTGCAGAAAAACAGAGAGCTAATTTTTCGTTCCCCATTTCTCTCCGCTGCCCTAGTGAAAACGAGGGAGAGCGACGGAAAAAATCCCCCGACGCGCGGCTATCCCGATCTCTCCTCGTCTCGTCGCCAAACTCGAATCCTCTCTCTCTCTCTGAAAAAATCCCCCGACGCGATCGCGGCGATCCCGATCTCTCCTCGTCGCCAAACTCCAGTCCCCTCTCTCTCTCTCTTCTCTCGATCAAACCCTAGTTCAACGCCGACCTCTCCTCGTCAGCTTGAGAATCCCAATCTCCTCTTGGATCTCTCTGTCAACATGAATCCAAATTCATTCGAGGTAAGTTCTGCTCATATTTTTGTTTTGGATTGGAGATCTCATTTTTAATGGTTTTATAGGTGATTAAGTTGATATTTGTTGATACAATTGCTGTTTATTTCTTAGTATCATGAACCCTAGATTCTATTGAGGCGATATACTGGAAAAAAATTGAAGCATTAGTTGAGTGGATTTGATCTTGTTTCCTTATGATTTGTTGTATGTTTCAAAAAAAAAACATGGTACTTACCAGTGATTTATCCAATTCAGTTCCACAATACAACTTTATAGAGTGGTCCACAAAAGTCCACAAGTATGAAGTAAACTTTCAAAATTTTAGTTCTAAGCAGCACCATCAGGGCAGCATACTGTTCATCAGAGTAGGAGGTAAACATATCCCAAATTTGTGAATCAAATTTTGATCTAGGCATTTACGAGATAGATATGTGGATTGCTAAAAGAAAGGGGTGAAATGTACAATTGTGTACTTGTAGATAACACTGCACTTATGACCCCCCAGATGAAAGATGAATTGCAGCATGAAACAAGTTTGTTTTAATCTTAATAAATTCAGCATGAAACAAGTTTGTAAACTAAGAGCAAGGGCTTACCTGCATTGAGCATCAATGTTCCATCTCCAAGTGATTCCTCAAAAGGGAAATAACCCTGCACCTATGTCTCAAAATAGAGGAAGCAGAAAAGGGGAATTTTGTATCAATAATATGCCATGGTAGTTGACAATATTTCTTATGTCATGGTAGTTCACAAAAGTTGACCACATTCCTGCCATGGTCTCCAAATTTGGTTTGAGAGATTTTTTTTCCCCTTGCCTTGCTGCAGTTGCTGAGCTGCCTTCTCTCAGCTGAGTTCTGGTGATGCATACATTGCCTCCGCCAAGTACCATTGTCAAGTTAAAAACCCTCCTACTGTATTAGGTGGAGGTTGGTGGCTTGTTGTTATAGGTATTGGTGTAGGAGAGGGAGCTTGTTGTGTAAAATGAGTTGTAGCTGTGGTAACGAAGGAATTGAAGACTTCTGAGTTCTGAGTAATAGGAAGTACATAAGGACCTTGTATTTGTATTTGGAATTCTAGCGTAATAGTCGTATGCTTGTGGGGTAGTGGTTGTTAGTGTTGAGTTGGAAGCTTGTCCTTGCAATGAATACTGAAATAGGTTGGCACATATATACACATAATGCAACCAATTATTTGGCTTGCAAAAATATACCTGACCACATGTCGGAGTACTAGGGTTGGGGTTTGTTCATTTGAGCAGTGGGGCATTCTATTCTTAGTATAAATTATTAAGCCGTGCAACTTTTCTAATTGGTTTAGCTGCAAGCATATTTAGACAACAAGCTAAATATTGTGAGTTGCATCAAGAACAGCTTGACCACATGTCGGAGCACCCTTGTCAAAATGTGGACACGTTAAGAAAATCTTGTTATTCTGTGTGAAGTTACTTAAATTTCTGTTAACATGCTTTACTTGTGATTTATCGCTTCTCTGTTTTGAGGCTGTTAATGCTAAAGGAAGAGCTGCATGCTATTTCAACTGTGACTTTCATTCTCTGTTTTAGAATTCACATGAAAATCTGTTGTAATATTTGAGTTCTTTTCCTCACTTTGTACCAGATAAAAAGAGAAATTTCTCCCTCTCTTGAGGGTTGTTGGTTATGATTGTGACGTGCTTACTATAGAAAGTGTTTGAATTTGTAGACAAAAGAAGATGATGAATGGGCTATACAAAGGAAAAAGATAAAATATTCAGCAGGGATTGTGGCTGCATATGCAGCATATGTAGGTGCCTATTATGACAACTAATATCTACCAAGTGGAGTATATAGATAGATCAATCTTAGCTCAAAAAGATGAACATAGGAACTTATGGAGCGACTTACTCAACAAAGTGATAGAGATTGTCGTGAACAACTACGGATGGGAGTTAATGCTTTTGCTAGACTGTGTCAGTTGCTTAGGGAGACGGGACGTCTTTATGATAATAGACGCAGTTCTGTAGAGGAACAAGTTGCTAAGTTCCTTCAAATTCTTTCTCATAACTGGAAGAATCGAGCAGTGAAGTTCTATTTTATGCGTTCAGGTGAGATTGTTAGCCGCCACTTTCACAAAGTATTAGAGGCATTACTATCGCTTGAGGATCAATTTATTAAACAACCAAATGGCTTCGAAGTTCCACTAGAAATTCAGACAAATCATAGATTCTGGCCCTATTTCAAGGTAAAATATAAAATTTTTGTAATAAATATTACATCATGATAATAATAGTCAAGTTGCTAATCACTTTGTTAATCTATTATAGAATTGTATTGGCGCAATTGATGGATCTCATTTTCGAGTGAAAGTGGCAAAAGTAGATACAAGAAGGTATCGAGGCCGAAAAGAATTTTCAACTCAAAATGTGCTTGCCGCTTGCACCTTTGACTTGAAATTCACATATGTTCTAGCTGGTTGGGAAGGGTCTGCTTCAGATTCACGGGTGTTGAACAATGCATTAATACGACAAGACAAAATATTTGTTCCTCAAGGTGACAACTCTTAGGTCCAATCATTTTCAAGATCAGATAAGACCTTGTTTACATAAACACATTTTAACTATAAAATTTTGTTCAATTTTAGGAAAATATTATTTAGTTGATGGTGGTTTTATGTTGAGGCCGGGATTCCTTACACCATTTAGGAGCACGCGTTATCACCTCAAGGAATATTCAACAAGACAACCTGAAAGTCCTCGTGAAGTGTATAACCATCGCCACTCTTCACTGCGAAATGCAATTGAGCGTGCTTTTGGAGTCTTGAAGAAGCGATTCCCAATCTTGGGTAGTGGAACAGAACCTCATTATCCAATTGAAACACAAAAAGATATCATTTATGCATGTACTATCCTACATAATTTTCTAATGGGTGTTGATCCTGACGAGGGGCTTCTTGAACAAGTTGATCAGGAAGTTTTGAACCAGATGATAGATGTTGAAGAAGCTCCTGTAAATGATAATGAAGAGTATAGACGAGGAGAGATTCTAAGGCAAAAAATAGCCGATGATATGTGGAGAGATTATTAGAAATATTTTCATTTTTCAAATAAAAAGTAAATGTGTTTTTAGATACTCTGGATCGTATGAGTGAGCTAATATATTTTGATTGTCTGGTCAACATTCGAGTTGCAATTTCACAACTTACAGTTTCATAATATTGAGCTTCTGTGCATTTAGGCTATTGATCTGATATCCATGGTGCATTCTTTAATTTAATTTTTCCTCCATTTATGTTCTTAGGTCATGGACTGTGATTGAATTAGTACTGTAAATACATTCTTTTGGCTCTGAGCTGACTACTGTTCTTCAATAAAAATTGAGACTGTTCTTGCAAATTAATTTCCTGTGTAGTTTCAGAAAAAGTATGATGATCTTACGGGGAAGCTACATGCTGATTGTTTCTATTTTTTTCTTCCTAAGATTACAGTGATCTGAAGGCCAAATAGAAACCCTAGTTAGATTCAGGAGGTGTGAATAAAGATCATCTCTGAGCTGACTTGTTGTGTGGGTTTGTTCCACTTGCAACAAGTTCAAAGATTTGTTAATCATTGGTCCATGCTATTTTTTTTTTTGTTTGCATCAATGATTTGTTTGTTAGCATGAATTTTGCATCAAGAGATATTATTTTACCTGTATCGTCTATAGGTACTGGTGATGTATACATTCAAGATTTAGTCAATCATATGTTCCTGAATATTTCTGAGAGAACAAGTGCACAAAGGGCAAAAGCCCGATCGAAGTTTCTCATATCATGCTTATCAAGCAACATGTGCAGAGTTATATGCTAAATGTGGAATAAAGGTTGAAGTGGATCATATTAAAAACCGATTGAAGACACTTAAAAGAGATATGGGCGCATTTCAAGACATGCAGAATTCTTCTAGTGGATTTGCATTTAATCGAGTGACAATGATGATGGATGCGGAGCCAAAAGTTTGGGAAGATTATATAAAGGTACGTTGAATAATTAGTCATTTATTAATTTTGGTAATTGTTCTAATATTTAAGATTACATAAAGGTGTAACAAATATTAGACCTGCCCACAGGGGCTTTATTGGTTAGAATAATTACTTCTAATGGATGTTACTTTGTATTGCATTACAAATATGGAATGATGCTGCAGTTAGAATAATGATGCTGCAGTTAGTAAAATTTATCTAACTGTTAAATTGCATCCAGAAACTATTACTTAAAGTCATAAAATCTCTCTGTAATCACTCATAGAGGTAGCTTTCCAACTATATAACTTATTATTTATTAATGGCATAAGCTTAATATCATTAAGCTAATTCTTCGCTCTTAAATGTTTACTTAATTTTGTGCCCTTGAAAAGACTTATCAATGATGGAAGTTGATTCTTTATCTATTAATAGGCACATCCCGGAGCAAAACAATTTCGTTACAAATCTGTACCGTGTTTTGAACACTTGCAAATCATTTATGGGAAAGACAGGGCTGTTGGTTTAGCTTCTGAAACCTGTACCGTGTTTTGAACACTTGCAAATCATTTATGGGAAAGACAGGGCTGTTGGTTTAGCTTCTGAAACTATCAAAGAAAGACGTGTTCGCATAGAAAATGAAAGAGATGAATCAAGTTCTATCAATACAAATCAAGATGATAGAGAAGATGTTCAAGAGAATGATATAGAATGCATCGGCCCTTCAAAAGGTAAAGAACAAGATCCCAAAACCCATTCTGCAACGGGAACATCTTCAAAGGTGATATATAAAAGAAAGCATAGTGCCACTAGCAATTTGGGTGAAGAGCTTGATGGGCTAAAAAGAGGAATGGAGTCAATTGCTTCTGCAATTTGGAAGACCGGTCCTCGTTTTTACACAGAAGGAGAGATATTTGAGTCAATTGCTTCTGCAATTTGGAAGACCGGTCCTCGTTTTTACACAGAAGGAGAGATATTTGAGGAGCTTTCAAAAGTTGAAGGGCTCAATGAGGACGAACAGCTTGTAGCCTACGACTATCTTACCGAGTATGCTGCTCGAGGAAGAAACTTCATTGGGTTACCAATTCATCGGAGGAAAAGGTGGTTGGAGATTAAGCTTGGATGGTCATCACACAATCTTGGTATCAGTACTATGAGGTAATTTTACAATGAAACATTTCTTTGCCTAATATAAAAGCCTTCCTATTGATGACATCTTTGTTATTCAGTGGACTTGTAGATTTTCATTATGATTCATGTATCGTCACCGTGACTTTTATTAGTGATAAAGATCACCCGACTTGGGTGATTGACTCATTTGAAGCTCTTCATATTGATGGATGACCAACTTGTTCAATTATGTTGCAAGTTTGTATCCTTATTGCATGTTTATATTCTACTTATTTGAATTTTTATTTGAATTAATTTCAGGGGATGAAGGAGATTGATATCTTGATGGGCTCACTAAAGTCAAAATCCAAGGACTTCGGCATATTTTTTCTCTCTTTGGTTAAGATTCTCTATATGAAATTGATTGTAATAGACTTTGTTGGTTAAGGTTTTCTATATGAAATTGATTGTAATAGAATTTGTGACTAGAAATGGATTATAGTTTATATTAGGAATATCATGACATTTACTTTAGATTTGTTTTGGTTCTTTCATTGACATTTCTTTCTGCAAATATTATGTGTGAGAAATGTTGTTTTTTAATTAGTGGAATTGTGGTTGTGCTTCTGCTTGTTAATATTATGTGTGAGAATTGTTTTTTAATTAGTGGAATAGTGGTTGTGCTTTTGCTTGTTAATTATTTTTTATAAATTATTTAAAATCTAAATCTAATTTCAAAAATTTTGAATTAATTTATATTGTGATAATTTTTTTCCTCTTTTACTTAGAAAAGTAACCAAACAAGAGAAAATGACTTTCTTATAAATTTTTTTCTAACTTTCCTTACAATATTCTTTCTAACCAAACAATAAAAGGATTATCATTTTCTTTTCTTTTTCTCTTTCCTTACAATATTCTTTCTAACCAAACAATAAAAGGATTATCATTTTCTTTTCTTTTTCTTTTCCTTTCTTTTTACTTTCTTTCTTTCTAACCAAACAATAAAAGGATTATCATTTTCTTTTCTTTTTCTTTTCCTTTCTTTTTACTTTCTATTTCTTTTTCTTTTCTCTCTCTTTCTCTCAAACCAAACATAGCCAAAAGGATTTTTCTTTGATGGCCCCATTAACTTTAAAATCGTCACAAAACTTCTTTTAAAATTTGCCAGGATATCCCCACAAACTACTATTGTCATGAGGGTTTTCTACAGAACTTTTATAGTTAAAGTGGAGTTTCTGAGAACCACGAAACTCAAGAGGCTTTGTGACATTATGAAAGTTAAGGAGGTTATTTGAAAAATGCCAGCTTGAGGGGGGATTTGTTAAATTACCTATGGGATTTTCAGAAATTTACTTTTTCAAATCTTTGAACCGGGGGGCTGAGGCAATAATAAATTTTTTAAGTGTAATTCCAGGTTCTCACATCACCTGTAATCTCTTTACCTCTCAATCATTAACCAGTGCTCATCAACGTAACAAATTTTAGAAGATCCATAAGCACCGTGTGGTATACACCGCCTCCAATGTAAGTGGGTTTTTTGGCCTCATGGGCCAAATTGTTACCCAACCGTTAATATGTGATCTGGTTGTTAGGGAATATCTCATATTCTGTGGGATATTCTCTAATCAAGATCAGGCGTTACGGAGAAATCTGAGGAGAACGTAGATAGCGGAGGAAAATAAGGCAGCTATTAGGGGACGGAGAGGGGGATAGAATGCCTATAAATAGAGAGGATTACATCACCTCTGTATATCTCAACTGTGTAAATCTCCATTGGAGTCCCCAATACAAATCTGTTCTCGTTTCTACACCCAATGGAAAGAGATTATATGAGACAAATTATCTTAATGAGATCGTTCATCTAACGGCTATAAGCTTTTGTGGACTGAGCACTCAGCACACTTAAGTTTACAAGAGCTTTACTATGGCAAATAAGTGTTCCATATTATGCATAATCAAGTCAGCGTTTTAAGATATCGAAGGCTCAGTTTGGTCGACTCGACACGCTGACATTTTGTGAAAATGACCCGAAAGGCATCACGTGTCGACGACCCGAAAGTTGTCACGTGTCAATAACTCAAAAGGCGTTATGTGACGTCCCCTAGCTAAGTCGATTGCTTAATCATTATACTCGGCCTACTAATCGGCCGATGCCTTGTAAGAGCGACTCAAAAAGCGGTACTTCTCGATCACCGGACGAGTAGAAAGGCGACAAAATGCCTCGAGCCTTAAGCCCCCTCCTGTGCACTGGCAGCCAATCACCTTACAATAAATGTCATTAAATGCATTATGGGCGTCATCATTTCTCTACTCCCCAATAGTCTTTATGACATATCGGACCATGCCGGCACCGCACACCCCCAATCATTTCACATTAAATACCGAAGTGACCTCTCCTCCACTCGTCGGTCGACACATGTAAAACAGATGCTGACGTGGCCGTCATCCCATACTCGATCGAAGTTACCATTCTATCACCATTGTAAATAGGGATACTATTTTTAACAACAAGGTAAGATCTTTACCTATATCCACGGTGCTTAACAACTACTGCGGTTCATTTTACTTCTCAACTCAAGCAAATTACTGACTTAATTGTCGGAGGAACAATCAGGGAACCCAACCCCGCCCTCTTACGATTTGCTACTTGTGCAGGGAAAAACAACTTACTCCAAAATCAGACATTTTGAGGATTAGAGTACCTCTTGTTAGATCTCATTTTTACGAGCCTACTTTCTAATCTGGTTTTGATAATTAACAAACAATTTCTAATCTTGTTTCTAGTATTTGTGTTTTCCTCCAACATGCTTCCAGGTCGGAGTTGGAAGGATTTGCGCCTTAAAGACGATATCTTGGAGGTTGGAGGAAATTGGAATGAAGTCATCGCAATTCAAGTTAAAATACGAACTCGTACTTCATCCCTATTATCAAGAGGAGGATCGCCCAAGATCAAGCGTCATTTGCCTTGGGTATAGTAGTTTAGGTGTTTATACTTTATGTGTTATGTTTAAAACTCAAATTATTCATATACACACACATATTGGTTTATAATTATCATTTTTGAGAATATAATGTGTTTTTGGATTATAGACTAAATGATGTTGTTTTACACATTTCCTAAAGTCTATAAATCTATTTAAAAGAATCCCAGAACTTATTTGAAAGGAATTCATCAAAATCAAGTATTAACAAGTTTGTATTTTTGAACATTTTGCAAATTGATGAGTTTTCACATATGGGAAATGATATTTTAGAAACTCCTTTTTCAACATGTTTATTTTCACATATATATACATCTCCCTAAGTTTTACTATTTTTGGAGTTAATTTGCTATTTTAAAATCGATTTTAGAAAATTAAGTTTTCAGTAAAATTAAGTATTTGAAATATCATGTTATTGGTCGACCGATGGGTTCCACCAGTCGACCGACCGGTACAAATTTTTTTAGCCGATCTTTTATAGACAAATCAGTCGACTGATTTTTCTTATCAGTCGACCAATCAACGGTAAATTTCTGTAACGGGTAGTTTTGCCTGATTTGTTTTGAGAAACTATAAATAGCCCTCAAAACCTCTTTAAAAATTTTAAGGAAGTTTACAAAAGAGTTTTTGCTAGTTTGTTTAAAAGGTT